TCCTGCCGTGTAGTTCTGGGCTGATCCCTCACCTTCCTCATGATCATTGATGCCCCACGAGGTGAGATCTTGCATGGAGCCCAGACCGAGGGTGATTGACCATCATCTTGAACTTCTTACATTTTCTAATAATTGCGCCAACAGTTGTTGCCTTCTCACCAAGCTGCTTGCCTATTGTCCTGTAGCCCATCCCAACCTTGTGCAGGTCTACAATTTTATCCCTGATGTCCTTACACAGCTCTCTGGTCTTGGCCATTGTGGAGAGGTTGGAGTCTGTTTGATGTTGTGTGTGGACGGGTGTCTTTTATACAGGTAACGATTTCAAACAGGTGCAGTTAATACAGGTAATGATTGGAGAACAGGAGGGCTTCTTAAAGAAAAACTAACAGGTCTGTGAGAGCCGGAATTCTTACTGGTTGTTAGGTGATCAAATACTTATGTCATGCAATAAAATGCAAATGAATTACTTAAAAATCATACAATGTGATTTTCTGGATTTTTGTTTTAGATTCCGTCTCTCACAGTTGAAGTGTACCGATGATAAAAATTACAGACCTCTACATGCTTTGTAAGTAGGAAAACCTGCAAAATCGGCAGTGTATCAAATACTTGTTCTCCCCACTGTACATGACACTACTACGTTCTATGGCAGCCATGTTAGCTCCCCGTTAACATTACATGGCGAATATTTAATTAATGCTATGTAACTGAACGTCTTGCATTAGAAAACAATATTTGAAATTCTAAAAGTTGTCTGAATTTTCTGTATGGCCCTGTAGAGCACTGGTGATGGAATACAGACAAAACCTCTCTGTTTGCACCTTTTAGCACCTGTGATGTTTAGTGTTCACTAATCAAGTGTGCAAATAAATATAGACAAATATTTTAATATCTTAGATGCTTGGTATTTATTTTACATGGTTGAAGTGTGAGTGCCTTTTGAACTCTACTCAGTAGTTTAGGGCCCCGTGTAGCTCAGTTGGTAGAGCACGGCGCTTGCAACGCCAGGGTTGTGGGTTCATTTCCCACGGAGGGCCAGTATGAAAAAAAAATTTATGCACTAACTGTAAGTCGCTCTGGATAAGAGCGTCTGCTAAATGACTAAAATGTAGCCAACCTTAGTAACGGCCCCATAGAGGCCTGCCGCCTATACCCTAACCTTAACCCAGCTAGCAAGCATCTAATGGCCCCTAGAGGCCTGCCGCCTATACCCTAACCTTAACCCAGCTAGCAAGCATCTAATGGCCCCTAGAGGCCTGCCGCCTATACCCTAACCTTAACCCCCCCTAGCAACTCTAAGGCCCCCGAGGCCTGCCGCCTTCCCCCAACCTTTTAAAACCCCCAGCAAGCACTAATGCCCCTAAGGGGCCCGCCGCCTTTTCCCCAACCTTTTCCCCTAGCAAAATTTTAATGGCCCTAAGGGCCGCCCCCCCTATGCCATCCCTTTAACCCCCGCTACAAGCACTAATGGCCCCCGAGGCCTGCCCCCATACCCTAACCTTAAAACCCGCTACAAACATCAATGGCCCCCCTAGAGGCCCGCCCCCTTACCTAACCTTAACCACTACAAACTCAAAGGCCCCCAGAGGCTGCCCCCCATAGCCTAACCTTTAAACCCCGCTAGCAACATCTATGGGCCCCCTAACCCTTTAAACCAGTACAAACATCAATGGCCCCCATACCTAACCTTACCCGTGCAAAAAATCTAAGGCCCCTAGAGGCCTGCCGCCTATACCCAACCTTAACCCAGTAGCAAAACATTAATGGCCCCCCTATGCCTACCTTAACCCAGCTAGCAAGATCTAATGGCCCCTATAGCCTAACTTAACCCCGCTAGCAAACATCTATGGCCCCCCAAACCCCCGCCGCCTATACCCCCAAACCTTAACCCAAAGCTACAAGCTCTAAAGGCCCCAACCTGCCCCTTAGCCAACCTTTAAACCCCTAGCAACTCTTTGGCCCCCCCAGGCCCGCCCCTTACCCTAACCTTAAAACCCCGTAGAAAATCTAAGGCCCAAGGCCGCCCCCCTATACCCTAAACCCTTAACCCATACAAACATCTATGGCCCCTAGAGGGCCGCGCCTATACCCTAACCTTAACCCAGCTACAGCATCTAATGGCCCCCTATAGCCAACCTTTAACCCCGCAAGCATCTAATGGCCCCCTATAGCCAACCAACCCCCCTAGCAAGCATCTAAGGCCCCTAGAGGCCCGCCCCTATTTTCCCTAAACCTTAACCCAGCTAGCAAAGCACTAAGGGCCCCCAATCTGCCCCCCAAGCCAACCTTAACCCACTAGCAAGCATCTAATGGCCCCCGACCCCCCGCCTATACCCTAAATAACCCCGCTAGCAAACATCTATGGCCCCCAGAGGCCTGCCCGCCTTAACCCCAACCTTTAACCCGCACAAGATCTATGGCCCCAGAGGCCTTTCCGCCTATACCCTAACCTAACCCAGCTACAAACATCTAAGGCCCCTGAGGCCCTGCCCCCCTTTGCCAACCCTTTAACCAGCTAGCAAGCACTAAAGGCCCCCCAGGCCCTGCCCCCTATTTCCTAACCAACCCCCTAGCAAACATCTAGGCCCCCCATAGCCTAACCCTTTAACCCCGCTAGCAACATCTAATGGCCCCTAGAGGCCTGCCCCTATACCCTAAAACCTTACCAGTACAAGCATCTAAGGCCCCCCATTGCCTAACCTTAACCCCGCTACAAAAATCTAAAGGCCCCCCAAGCCAACCAACCCACTAGCAAGCATCTAAGGACCCCAAAGGCCTGCCGCCTATACCCCAACCTTAACCCCGTACAGCTCTAATGGCCCCCAGAGGCCCCCCCCATAAGCTAACCTTACCCACTCAAACATCTAAGCCCCCCAAGGGCCTGCCGCCTTTAAACCCCAACCTTTAACCCCCGCTAGCAAGCATCTAATGGCCCCCAGAGGCCTCCCCTATACCCTAACCTTAACCCCGCTAGCAACACTAATGGCCCCTAGAGGCCCCCCCCTATACCTAACCTTAAAACCCCCCTAGCAAAACATCTAATGGGCCCCTAGGGGCCTGCCGCCTATCCCTAAACCCTTTAACCCCTAAAAGCATCTAATCCCCCGAGGGCCCGCCCCTCTATACCCAAACCATAAACCCGTAGCAAAATCTAATGGCACCTAAGGCCCCCCTATAACCCAAAATTAACCCCCCGCAGAAGATTAAAGGGCCCCCAGAGGCTGCCCCTATACCCTAACCAACCCCGTACAAGCTCTATGGCCCCGAGGCCTGGGCCCCCTATACCCTAAACCCTTAAAACCCCGCTAGCAACACTAATGGCCCCTAGAACCCTCCCCCCATAGCCAACCTTAACCCAGCTAGAAAAATCTATGGGGCCCCTGAGGCCTGCCCCCCATACCTAACCTTTAACCCAGCTAGCAAGCATCTAAAAGGCCCCAAACCCTTAAAACCCGTAGCAAGCATCTAATGGCCCCCAAACCAACCAACCCAGAGAGCATCAATGGCCCCTAGAGGGCCGCCAAAAACCCCAAAACCCAGAGAAACCAAGGCCCCCTGCCCCTTAACTAACCCAGCAGCAAACATCTAATGGGGCCCCCATACCTAACCTTAACCCGCTAGGGCAACCATCTATGGCCCCCAAGGGCCTGCGCCTATACCCCAACCTAAACCCCTACAAGATCTAATGGCCCCTAGAGGGCCTGCCGCCTAACCCCAACTTAACCACTACAAGATTAATGGGCCCCCCAGAGGCCTGCCGCCTTCCCTAACCTTAACCCAAAAGAAAACATCTAAGGCCCCTAAGGGCCCCCCCCCTTCCCCTAACCTTTTAAACCCCGCTAGCAAACATTAAAGGCCCCCCAAGGCCTGCCGCCCTTTCCCCAAACCCCAACCCAGTAGCAAGCATCTAATGCCCCCAGAGGCCCCCCGCCTATCCCTAAACCTAAACCCGCTAGAAATATAAGGGCCCCTAGGGCCTGCCGCCCTTCCCCAACCTTTAACCCAGTAGCAAACTAATGGCCCCAGAGGCCGCCGCCATACCCTAACCTTAACCAGTGCAAGCATCTATGGCCCTGAGCCGCCGCCTAACCCTAACCTTAAAACCCCCTAGCAAGCATCTAATGGGCCCCCAGAGGCCCCCGCCTTACCCAACCCTTAACCCAGCTAGCAAGATCTATGGCCCCTAGAGGCCTGCCCCCTTAGCCTAACCTTACCCAGCTAGCAACATCTAAGGCCCCCGAGGCCTGCCCCCTATACCCTAAACCCTTAACCCCTAGCAACATCTAATGGCCCCTAGAGGCCTCCCCCTATACCTAACCTTAAAACCAGCTAGCAAAATTAATGGCCCCTAGAGGCCTTCCGCCTATCCCTAACCTTTAACCGCTACAAGACAATGGCCCCTAGAGGCCGCCCCATACCCAACCTTTAAACCCCGTACAAACATCTAATGGCCCCTAGAGGGCCCGCCGCCGGCAAAATTCGCAGCCCCCGTCTGGCAAAAACTGCCGCACTACACGACCATCAGTGGCAAGCTTAGCCCTGTTAGCCTTAAACCCCGCTTGTCCCCCCCCCCCCGTTTGCTACGTCCGTGCAAGGGGGGGGGACATCAAGCTGCCCCCCCCCCCCCCCCCCCCCCCCCCCCCCCCCCCCCCCCCCCCTTTTTTTTTTTTTTTTTCCCCCTCCCCCCCCCCCCCCTTTCTCCCCCCCTTCCCCTCCCCCTTTTCCCCCCCCCCCCCCTCCTTTTTTTCCCCCCCTTCCCTTTTTTCCCCCCCCCCTTTTCCCCCCTTTTCCCCCTTCCCTTTTTTTTTTTTAAAAAAAAAGGGAAGGGCTGGGCCGAAGAAAAGAAAAGGAGGAAAAGACGTGGGAGAGGAAGGAAAGACCCGGCCCCCCAAAAAAAAAAAAAGGAAAAAGAGGAAAGCCGGGGAAAAAAACCCCCCCCCCCCCCTTTACCCCGAGAAAAAAAGAAGAGGTGGGGCAGGAGAAAAGGACTGGGAGGGGCGATGGGGACGGGTTCGGGGGGGTACGTCCCCGACCCACTGATGATGATGATGCCGGGTCTGACGGAAGAAGAGTGCGAGAGGTACAGGGAGCTACTGGAGATCAGGTGTCAGTTTCAAAGGAACAGGAAGCTGGCCGAGAGAAGCCAGGGAGGAAGATCAGGGGGTGAGGAGGAGGAGGAGGAGGCGAGACGTGTGAGGATGAAGTGGGGAGTGACCCAACATTCGACGTAAACTGCAACGAGATCCTGACGCAACACGAGATGGCATTGTTAGAGGAGGAACTACGCCACCTAGAGTTTAAATGTCGCAACATCCTGAGGGTGCAAAAGATGCAACAGCTGAGAGAACGATGCATGAAGGCGTGGCTTCTGGAGGAGGAGCTGGTGGTTGGCCGTGGAGCCCTAACCCCTGGTCCTGACTCCGCCCCCGACCACGACACAGACCCAGAGCCCGCCAATGAGATCCACCGCGAGCTGTCGGACATCAATGAGCTCCCTGAGCGGGAGAGGTCCGACCCAGACCACGACCCAGACCAGGACAAAGACAGCACCAGTGCCTACAACACCGGGGGAGAGAGCTGCAGGAGCACCCCTCTGGTCAGCACCGAGTTACTCCCCCTCCTGTCTCTGTCCATCCAGGAGGATGGTAGAGGAGGGGACTCCCATCACCACAGCCGAGACCGGGCCGACAGGGTTGGGTCTGGACGGGGATGGGAGAGTGGCGGACATTGTAGTCTGAACGGTTCCTTCACTCCCAACACCTACAGGTAATGTCTTGTGAGATACTGTATAGATACTTTATAGATACTGTATAGATAATGTATAGATACTGTATATATACTTTATAGATACTGTAAGAATATTTGGATACTGTATAGTTTAATTTTAGATACTGTAAGTTTTATTTGTATGGGATTTTTTTAAAAGAAATTTCTGTATTAAAGGATACGTATAGTTTATGTATGATTTGTAAAAGATACGGTATAGTTACTGTGTGTTTACTTGAAAAGAACGGATATGTTTGGGAGAAGTTTTTTGTTTTGTGCGGGATTATTCCAGTAAATCTTTGGGGGTTAACATTATTGGTTTCTTAACACAGGATTCCCCTCTATGTTTTCCCCCAAAAGAAAAATCTCCCTAGGAGAACATTTAAATACTTTTCATTTCTTTGGGCTTCTTTCTTTTTTTTCTTTTTTTTCTTTCTTTCTTTTCTTTTTGTTTTTTCTTTCTTTCTTTTTTTCTTTTTTCTTTTTTCTTTTTTCTTTCTTTCTTTTTTTCCATCCTTTCCCAAAAACCCCTTCCCGGGCCCTTTTCCTTTTTTTTTAAATGCGGGGGGGAAGGTCCGGGGATACAGACGACCAACGCCAGCACAAGCCCCGCCCATCCTAATTACCTGTCTCTGACCCAGGGGGGCGAAGGTGTCGGGGTGGGGTCATCATCACGGAGGGGGATAGCTGAGGGCGGAACAACCACAACACCCCCACGGAACCCCCCCAGAACTAACCCCACCCACCACGACAGGTCAGGGGGTCGTAGCGCAGAGACCAGCCCATACTTCACCCGGCGTCACCGTGGCAACAAGCCTCCGGCACCGGAACGCCACCAGAGCTGCATGCGGCTGCCATCAAGGAATCCTGAGGTCCGGATCGACTCCCTGGACTCTATAGACCGAGCCATGGTCCTGGGGATGGGGCTGGAGGAGAGAGGGGCTGCGGCGGGCAGCAGTGGTCACACCAGTCCCAGGTGTGCTAGTGGAGCCCCAGCTGGCCTCACCAAGGCCCAGGACAGCCTCACCAAGGCCCAGGACAGCCGCACCAAGGCCCAGGACAGCCTCACCAAGGCCCAGGACAGCCTCACCAAGGCCCAGGACAGCCCCACCAAGGCCCAGGACAGCCTCACCAAGGCCCAGGACAGCCGCACCAAGGCCCAGGACAGCCTCACCAAGGCCCAGGACAGCCGCACCAAGGCCCAGGACAGCCTCACCAAGGCCCTCCCCCTACACCTCCCCCTGCAGCTGGGTCCGGACTCATCTCGCATGGAGTGGAAGGTTATCTATTGATTGATTTATATTTACCTTATAGCAGGAAAGGCCTTCTTAAAAGTTGATATTTAAAGATTGTATTGTTGGTGACACTTTACTTGACACCCAGCGTCATAACACGTTATGACACGGTCGTAACCATGTCACAATATGGTCATAACAGCTGCCATAACTTGTCATAACCTGTCATAATATGGTTATAACACTGTCATGACCCATATATTTACACCTGTTGTGACATATATTGCGTTATTTTATGGCTGGTTAACATACCTGCATAAAAGTGTCAAAACCCACATTTATTCAAATGTTATTTTGTTTTTTTTCCCAGCCAAGAAGTTTCCTTTCATTTGAAAGTTTGTTTCTTAAGTCCTTTGTTGTTGTTGTAATGAATTCTGTTTACAGTCATGTTTTTTTTTACGTCATATTTTAAATAAGCATTATGACCACCCTGTGTCACATTACTTGGACTAAGAAAATACACTTTATGACACTGTCAAGAAGCATTATGACCATCATAATCATATAAGCCTGATGGGCCTATCACGAACATGCCCTTATGTCAGTCATCAGTCAAAAAGAGGGTGTCTTGTCCTGCTCCTGAAATGTGTGCTCAATTACAATGATAATTGAACATGGTCAATTTCAGAAACGTGTATAAAACATAAACACACTGTTGGCAAGTAGGCTATGGTGTAATGGAATGTTTTGCCTTGTGTGGTAGGATTTGTGGGTTTTGACACTCTTACGTAGGTGTCATAACCAGCCATAAAATAATGTAATATATGTCACAACAGGTCGAAATATATGTGTCATGACAGTGTTATGATCATATTATGACAGGTTATGACAAGTTATGTCAGCTGACACCGCTGGGTGTCGAGTAAAGTGTTACCGTATTATTCATTGATAGTTGTTGCTTCTCTATGTCTTACATGGTGCAATCAAATGGTATCCTCGGTAGCTCAGCTGGTAGAGCGTGGCGCTTGTAACGCCAGTAACGCCAGGGTAGTGGGTTAGATCCCCGGGACCACCCATATGTAAAAATGTATGCGCACATGACTGACTGTAAGTCGCTTTGGATAAAAGCGTCTGCTAAATGGCATATTATTATTATTATTAATATTATTATTATTATTATTATTATTATTATTATTATTATTATTATTATTATTATCTTTGGGAATTGTAAGCATGTACCCTGCTTTTGCCATATCCTTGATGCAGCTATAACCTATCGCGCTAACCGTCTCATCTTATCTTATCCGTAGGTGAAGATCCGTAGCGACGGGACGCGCTACGTTGCCAAGCGACCAGTGAGGGACCGTCTCCTTAAAGCCCGGGCCATTAAGATCAGAGAAGAGCGCAGTGGCACGACGACAGACGACGACGCGGTTAGCGAGACGAAGCAGGGACGCTATTGGTCGAAGGAGGAGCGTAAACGGCAGCTGCTGAGGGCCAGGGAACACCGGCGGCGCCGCGAGTTCATGATGCAGAGCCGGCTGGACTACCTGAAGGGAGACGGAGCGCCACAGGCGGGGGTGGGGGGGGGCACTATGGATAGGAAGGCTGTAGGAGGACCTCCGGGCCTGCAGGGGGAGGCAGGTGGTAGTCCCAGCATCCTGGCCCTCAGCCAGAAGAAGCTAAAGAAGAGGAACAGGAGGATCCTGGATAACTGGATCACCATTCAGGAACTACTGGCTCATGGATCCAGGTCGCCGGACGGAAAGAAGGTGTACAATCCTCTTCTCTCTGTTACTACGGTGTGATGGAGGGATGGGAGGAGGAGAAGAGAGCAGAGGGAGAAGAGGAGAAAGAAGGTCTACAATCCCCCAGCTCTGTTACTACGGTGTGATGGAGTGATGGGAAAAGGATGTAAATAAATCCAACCCAAGAGGAGATGCAGGACAACAAACAGAAAAAGGCTGTATGGTTTACATAATATGGACAGAGAGATTAACAGCATCTGCAGCTAAAAGGTAGAATTAAATGAGAAATAACATTGTTAAAGAGGTTGAAGAAGACTGAGCGGGAAGAGAAATGGGTTTCCACTGTAAATCAGGTAAACAAACGGTATGTCAACATGTGATTCATCCATAGGAATTTTAATGAATTACTAGAGATCGAGAGCGATGAAGATGACTTTTGTGATTTTTATAGGAGACTTTTAGTCTTCTTGGCGATAGCACGGAATAAACACTGTTTATTCAGCTTTGTAGAACGTCTCCAGTGCAGAGCTTCATAGTAGCCAGCTGCTTTCTGTTTTAGAGAATTAAGCTTTTTTTAAATGAATTCCAGAAACCCATTTTACTGATGTATACAGTGGTTGAGAACAAGTATTTGATACACTGCCGATTTTGCAGGTTTTCCTACTTACAAAGCATGTAGAGGTCTGTAATTTTTATCATAGGTACACTTCAACTGTGAGAGACGGAATCTAAAACAAAAATCCAGAAAATCACATTGTATGATTTTTAAGTAATTAATTTGCATTTATTGCATGACATAAGTATTTGATGCATCAGAAAAGCAGATCTTAATATTTGGTACAGAAACCTTTGTTTGCAATTACAGAGATCATACGTTTCCTGTAGGTCTTGACCAGGTTTGCACACACTGCAGCAGGGATTTTGGCCCACTCCTCCATTCAGACCTTCTCCAGATCCTTCAGGTTTCGGGGCTGTCGCTGGGCAATACGGACTTTCAGCTCCCTCCAAATATTTTCTATTGGGTTCAGGTCTGGAGACTGGCTAGGCCACTCCAGGACCTTGAGATACTTCTTACGGAGCCACTCCTTAGTTGCCCTGGCTGTGTGTTTTGGGTTGGAAGACCCAGCCACGACCCATCTTCAATGCTCTTACTGAGGGAAGGAGGTTGTTGGCCAAGATCTCGCGATACATGGCCCCATCCATCCTCCCCTCAATACGGTGCAGTTGTCCTGTCCCCTTTGCAGAAAAGCATCCCCAAAGAATGATGTTTCCACCTCCATGCTTCACGGTTGGGATGGTGTTCTTGGGGTTGTACTCATCCTTCTTCTTCCTCCAAACACGGCGAGTGGAGTTTAGACCAAAAAGCTCTATTTTTGTCTCATCAGACCACATGACCTTCTCCCATTCCTCCTCTGGATCATCCAGATGGTCATTGGCAAACTTCAGACGGGCCTGGACATGCGCTGGCTTGAGCAGGGGGACCTTGCGTGCGCTGCAGGATTTTAATCCATGACGGCGTAGTGTGTTACTAATGGTTTTCTTTGAGACTGTGGTCCCAGCTCTCTTCAGGTCATTGACCAGGTCCTGCTGTGTAGTTCTGGGCTGATCCCTCATCTTCCTCATGATCATTGATGCCCCATGAGGTGAGATCTTGCATGGAGTCCCAGACCAAGGGTGATTGACCGTCATCTTGAACTTCTTCCATTTTCTAATAATTGCGCCAACAGTTGTTGCCTTCTCACCAAGCTGCTTGCCTATTGTCCTGTAGCCCATCCCAGCCTTGTGCAGGTCTACAATTGTATCCCTGATGTCCTTACACAGCTCTCTGGTCTTGGCCATTGTGGAGAGGTCTGTTTGATTGAGTGTGTGGACAGGTGTCTTTTATACAGGTAACGAGTTCAAACAGGTGCAGTTAATATAGGTAATGAGTGGAGAACAGGAGGGCTTCTTAAATAAAAACTAACAGGTCTGTGTGAGCCGGAATTCTTACTGGTTGGTACGTGATCAAATACTTATGTCATGCAATAAAATGCAAATTAATTACTTAAAAATCATACAATGTGATTTTCTGGATTTTTGTTTTAGATTCCGTCTCTCACAGTTGAAGTGTACCTATGATAAAAAATTACAGACCTCTACATGCTTTGTAAGTAGGAAAACCTGCAAAATCGGCGGTGTATCAAATACTTGTTCTCCCCACTGTATATATAAAGAGAAAATGGTGTGAAAGTATATAGTCTTATGAGAAGAGGGAACCAAGCGAGATATAACCACATCATACCATCTACCTTACGTCAGGTAGACTGTAATTCATAAGGGGTTAAAAGGCACACATGACCAAACCTCATCTCTGAGTAAATAACTAGAGATTTGGAAGCGAGAGGGCAGAGAGGAGGAGAGGAGCGAGAGGAGGAGAGGAGCAGGAGGAGAGGAGGAGAGGAGGAGAGGAGGAGAGGAGGAGAGGAGGAGAGGAGCGAGAGGAGCGAGAGGAGGAGAGGAGGAGAGGAGCGAGAGGAGCGAGAGGAGGAGAGGAGGAGAGGAGAACTCTACAGTCGAGTGAGTTACAAGCTTTGGGACTTTGGGGATTGGGTGTAAGAGGGGAGGTAGCCCTGACAATAATGAGTATTCTGTGTTAAGGGTTAGTAAGACACGGAGAAAGAGAGAGAAGGCTAAAGAGGGATGAGAGAGAAAGACAGAGAGAGAGACAGAGATACGCTCAGGAGAGAGATGGAGAGAGAGAGAGAGAGAGAGAGAGAGAGAGAGAGAGAGAGAGAGAGAGAGAGAGAGAGAGAGAGAGAGAGAGAGAGAGAGAGAGAGAGAAAAGAGCTCAACCTGACTGAAATAATGGCACACACCAGTTGAATCAACGTTGTTTTCACGTCATTTCATAGAAATTTTGTTGAACCAACGTGGAATTCAAATCAAATCAAATTGTATTTGTCACATACACATGTTAAGCAGATGTTATTGCGCGTGTAGCGAAATGCTTGCGTTTCTAGCTCCAACATTGCAGTATATTCTCCCAGTAAATTGACGACAACCCAGTTCAGTCTGAACAAGAAAATGATATTTCATGAATATAACACCACTTTCCTTCTACAGTTACAGGCTACGTCCCCAATGTCACCCTGTTCCCTATTGGGCTCTGGTCAAAAGTAGTGCACTATAAAGGGAATATGTTGCTATTTGGGATGCATCCTGCAGTGCCTGGTGGATGGTCTATCCCAGTTGACTGCTTCTCAAACAGCTAATAGGAGAAGGGATGTTTGATGTAACAAAGTACCTGCAATGGTTTTGAAAAATGGAACTGTACAGACTGTTTTCTGAATATTTACCAGAATATTTTTCTGTATTTATTCTGTGTGTGTGCGTGCGAGACGGAGAGAGAGAGACTGAAAGACCTTTCCTGTTGTTAGTTAGGGCAGGATTCAATCCGATTGTTCTTTGTCAACAATGCACCATTTAAAGATTGAGCCTGCGTATGCAGTGTTTTACGTGAATGTGGTCTCTGTGAATGAGGGACTTTAAAAAAGCCTCATTATTGACAAATCAAATCAGATTGAATCCTGCCCTTAGTGTTTCCTATGGACATCTCTGTCCACATCAGTGTTGCTCAGTGTAACTATAGATTTTCTTTGTATAACAATAAGTGCACACATGATGTTCGGTGGTTGATCAAAACCACCATGTTCGATGACAATGTCTTTGAATAAGAATAGTTTCACAGTGTATTGCTTTGTAGTACGACAGACTCAGCTGTGTTCTTCCTGAAGATACGCTTGTTTTTGGGGTGTATTGTATATTTTCAGCTAGAATCCTTAATTAAAACAATAACAAAGTGGTGACCCCGCCTCTTTTTTTGGGTAAAATGCTGACGGATGAGCCTGGAGAAATGTAACTACTCTCAGATTGATAGACAGAGCTATGGATGCAAGGACTGGCCATCCATGATATCAACATTATATCGTTTTAACCATGTTTTGAGGCTTTCGTGTCAATCACAATGTCAGAATGGAGAGGCTGACATTCGATTTGGTAGACAGCTTGGAAAGAGAACATGTAAGGATTTAAAACACTTTTATTTTTTCTACTAGTCCACGTAAAGTCACCAGAAGACTCTAAAAATGCATTTTAGATCGCCTCACGAGATCGGTCACAGTTACAGTGAGGGGAAAAAAGTATTTGATCCCCTGCTGATTTTGTACGTTTGCCCACTGACAAAGAAATGATCAGTCTATAATTTTAATGGTAGGTTTATTTGAACAGTGAGAGACAGAATAACAACAAAAAAATCCAGAAAAACGCATGTCAATAATGTTGTAAATTGATTTGCATTTTAATGAGGGAAATAAGTATTTGACCCCCTCTCAATCAGAAAGATTTCTGGCTCCCAGGTGTCTTTTATACAGGTAACGAGCTGAGATTAGGAGCACACTCTTAAAGGGAGTGCTCCTAATCTCAGTTTGTTACCTGTATAAAAGACACCTATCCACAGAAGCAATCAATCAATCAGATTCCAAACTCTCCACCATGGCCAAGACCAAAGAGCTCTCCAAGGATGTCAGGGACAAGATTGTAGACCTACACAAGGCTGGAATGGGCTACAAGACAATCGCCAAGCTGCTTGGTGAGAAGGTGACAACAGTTGGTGCGATTATTCGCAAATGGAAGAAACACAAAATAACTGTCAATCTCCCTCGGCCTGGGGCTCCATGCAAGATCTCACCTTGTGGAGTTGCAATGATCATGAGAACGGTGAGGAATCTGCCCAGAACTACACGGGAGGATCTTGTCAATGATCCCATAGTCACCAAGAAAACAATTGGTAACACACTATGCCGTGAAGGACTGAAATCCTGCAGCGCCCGCAAGGTCCCCCTGCTCAAGAAAGCACATATACAGGCCCGTCTGAAGTTTGCCAATGAACATCTGAATAATTCAGAGGAGAACTGGGTGAAAGTGTTGTGGTCAGATGAGACCAAAATGGAGCTCTTTGGCATCAACTCAACTCGCCGTGTTTGGAGGAGGAGGAATGCTGCCTATGACCCCAAGAACACCAT